CCTCATATCACAGTGGGCCTCCGATCAGGATATCGTAGAGGTCAGTGGGTTATCCTGAATGGGTATTATACCCCCTGAGATAGCAAGGACAGGATTCCCCCTGTGTTGTGGTATCTATGATAGCCTACTGCATCATTTGGGGGGCCCTTGCTTGGTTGGGAAAGGTTTTCCCCAATGGGTCAGACTGCGGGTGGAACCCTAGTCATTCTCTTCCAGTTTGAATGAGAGGCTAATGAGCCACCAGACATCGATGCCTGCTCCACTAGGCTACTCCTGTCCCTGCTAGCCACACGGACACAGGTTTCCATCCTCCTGCACTCCTTGTATCTTACTTCCCTTGCACTCTCTGCCTCAGGTTCATAGTTAGTTGACTACTTCCGGGTATGTAGAGTGCCTTCCAAGAACTGAGTCCTGTATAGAGGATGGAGTACACTCCCCTTTGTTACCAGCCTCTCTGGGGGTTTCCAGTGTAGTGGGAAAATTTCAAAGGAAAAAATGTTCTCAGATGTTTACACTATGTTTATGAGGGTGTGATCCACACTATCATTTTGTGAATACTAGAAAATCCCCTCCCCCACCCTCACACACATGTGAAGGCAAAAGAAACTGGCAATATTATAAACACACATAATTGTGTGTTTATATTTGGATATATAATGCAGAGCGTGTGTCTATGTTGGAACCGTGCAATGCGGACAGTACAGAAGCAGTATGCTCCACTCATAGAGGGGACCGTGGAGCTCATCATAAAGTGCTACGCTGCAGTTCACTATGCCATGCTCCTAGACTCAGCAGCCCAGGTGAAAATTTTTTTGGAGTCATCCGTTAACGCAAGATTTTGCAGGGGCAGTATGTACCATTTGTATAGCTTGTGAAATTCTTATTTGCTACAAGTTTCCTCCTTCAAGCAATATACCACTGAGCACAATAGCTTTCTCGTGAACCATATGCACATCGGTTCAACCTGAAGGTCAATGAAACGAGGGCGCATGATACACACTGTGTGTGCTGTTTCACTGCATATGTATGTATTTGTGGTGTAGCTGGTGCAGCTGTTTGGGAAGGAGGCTTCGTGTTCAAGACTGATGGCCGCTCTGCTCCAACAGCTCCATACCCTCTCCCTACCCTTCTTTCAGTCTGGTAGGTATTTAACCCTCTCCCTACCCCTCTTTCAGTCTGGTAGATATTTAACCCTCTCCCTACCCTTCTTTCAGTCTGGTAGGTATTTAACCCTCTCCCTACCCCTCTTTCAGTCTGGTAGATATTAACCCTCTCCCTACCCTTCTTTCAGTCTGGTAGGTACATACATAGTTAACCCATTCCCTACCGTTCTGTCTGGTAGGTACTACATAGTTAACCCCTTCCCTACCTACCTACCTTCCTATTGTAAGTTTGAGCCTTCCTTCCTTCCTTCTATTTAGTATTGTAAGTTTGAATAGGTCCACTGTCAAGGTAGCTTTGTGCAGAGTAGGTAGTTACACATGTGCAATGTCCTGTGTGGAAGTGTCATCACTGTCCGATTTGGACTGTGTCATCACTGTCCGATTTGGACAGTGCTGACTGCCTGAAAGTATTGGAAACTATCAATACAGAAAATGGTTAGACAAGTCAATAGACAAACCAGTAAGTAACTATGTAGATATTCATCAATACTGGAGGGCCAGGGGGTTTTGTGAGGATGGCTTTTATCAGTAGGAGGCCTTTTGTGTTCTCACAGAAAGCTAGTGGGTGTGTTCCTTCCACATGTAAATTTTAGTAGATCACCACCAGCATATCTAATGTGGCAAAAATCTCTGTGAAATTTCCCCGTTTCACTGCAGCTCTGGTGGAGTATCCAGATACTCTTCAGTCTTATCTTCGACTCATGTCCACGGTAAGCTTTTTTCACAGTTTAATCTACTGGGTTGTCTAGTCATCGACAGCATGTTCACCATACCCAAATGCTAAAATATGCGTAAAACCAGTGGCACTCTGTTTTCTCATCAAATTTGTATGTGGATTCTTTAAGTTACGGTATTCTTTGCCTCACTAGGCCTTGAATACCTGCCCTGCTCTACTCCTTGGGATCAATGGAGTGCCTCAGGATCTTTTTGATATTGGTGAGACTCATATGTGTGTGTGCAGAATGCAGGAGAGTTGAGTGACAATCATATGTACAGTGTGTAAGCCTTAGAGAGAGGTACGTACATAAACAATTATGAGAGAGAGAGAAAGATACACACGCTGTTTAAGTATGGCATAATGCAAACACAGAACAGATTGCATCACTGAAATTCTGCAGCATATGATATACATGTCCAGTATAAAGCCTACACCACTGTACATTGCAGGTCTAGCTGGACTGGAGAGACCAGAGCAACAGACTGTCAGATTTGCATCCAGCTTCTTTGTGAGCTACGTGTCACTGGCTGACACGGCGGACGCAGTCAGCACTGTCGTCTCTGACAAGGGAGGCTCTCTTGTGCAGTACTTACTGCAGGCAATTGCAGGGGCGGCCCCTCGTTCCCACCTCCCATTCTTCAGCGAGGTGCTGGGTGCTCTGTGTGCCCACTGTGCCAGTCACCTGTCACACTGGCTAGAGGTGAGAGTTCGGGAGGGGAACCAATGGGAAAACAACCAATTAGGTGGTGAAATTACAGGGGCAGTGATGCTCGACAAAGAGATGGTAATCAGAGTGGGTGTAGCATTTCGACCATGTAAACAGGTCTATTGTAGCAGGTCCTTGTGCTATTACGAGGAGTGATATAATAATATAGAGTTTCTCTCTACATGGCAGGATCTTCTCTCTCAAGATGGCTTCCCCACCCACCATGTCTCTCTCACTGAGAAGAATGATTTCAAGGCCACCGTCATGCGACAAAGGTATAGTTTTACACGAATCCTTCGTTTGGCAATTTCTGTGTGTGTTTCTGGCAATAGCTTCCCCTAAATACGCCGATAATGCTCGATCAATCTGAGCGTGGAAAACTCCTAGTAACAGCTGTTTCTGGGGCAAAAATATCCGAGCACAGAGATGGCGGCGTATTGTACGAATCCAGTATGGGTGATATGTACATACGTCTATAATATATTATAGACGTATGTACTTCGGTGTGTTGCTAACTCAATTCTGTCCCATATCCTATATACTTTTGATCTGTTCGCCTACATTTATACTTTGTATTTCGTCCCTCCTCTGAGGACTACGATCCCTCCCTCCTCCTTTTATAGTTTTCTGTACCTCCTCATTCTCTCCGCACGACACTCGAGAGGTACAGCGAGAGGGAGAGATAGCGCCGACGAGCGTCAAGGAGCGAGACGGAAGCGAGAAGTAGGCGAGAAGGACTAAACGGAGGCGCGAGAGAAAGGAGGCGAGGAGAGACGCAGCTATAAGTAACGGAGCTCAGCGGAGCAGACGGCAAAAGCAAATGGATGATGCGAGGAAAGCTCTAAGGATCGCAAGAAAGAGAGCTGAGACGGGTCTATGACGAACAGCGCTGCAGGCGCGAACGACATGCCAAAGTATTGGCGCGAATACGACTCTCGGAGGATAGAACTAAAGACCAAATTCGAGCTCGTAAGAAGTCTAGCGAAATTAGCTCCTCCCTACCTCATCTTCCATGGTCTCTCTAAATCGCTCATCTATATCTCTATATCGATCACCTCACTCTCTCAGCCTCTATCTATCTCTAATTCTCCCTCATCCCTTCGTCACGTCCTGATCGTGCTCTCGCTCTCTCTCCTCTCTCCCTCTTCCCTTCTTCACTTCCTTTTCTCTTTCTCTCCTCCTCTCTCCTCCTCTCTCCTCCTCTCTCCTCTCTCCCTCTTCCCTTGTCTCTCCTATCTATATACATACTACAGAGGTGGTCAAGGTAGTTCACGTCTCCTGAAAGATAAGGTAAAAGAGTTTTCTCTGATGTGTAGAGGTTTCCACGGAACACTCTATGCCCTCCAGACTTAATCTTCACCTCACTCTATAAATCAAAAATCATATTCTCACGTTTGTATGAATCACCATGTGCCTGTATTGTAACCACATCAGTTTCTAGAGTGGATGCCTTGGTTTATAGGAAGTATACGTTTCCAGACGTATGGTGCGTATTCCCCTTGCTCATTATGGAGCATGATATTGTGGGTATATTAAAGTGTTCTAAAGTTTTAGTTGATGTAACTCGGCAATCTACCCGAAAAGTTCAGAACATTAAATGTATCTGCGTTTTGTCAAAAAATAGATTAATGTGGTATATTATATATACATAATTCCACCTCATGATTGTTATTGTGATTATCAAAATATTTATCACCCTTCTTGTATGCTGGGTATGGTATGTACAAAACAAACAGTAATGCCAATCATTGGGTCGTATATATAAAGTGATCATATTTTCCATACGTATGTAGTTCAGTCAATGCAAGATTCTGAGCCCAACATGTTCTCGATGCTCTGGGCGTTGTCGGTAGTTATATTGCTGGTCTCCAGCCACCTCGGAATACTCTGGTCTATCACAGTATCCGCGTAGAAATTGGACGCCGGGAGGTATATGTCATCGTAGAACAGGTACAGCCTTGTCTCGAGGCAGTAGCTGCTGAGTCGCGGCATGCTGCCTAACTCACATGTGTCGTTGAGCTCCAGAAATCGCTGCGATGCTCTCACGTTGGTGTCGTTCATATTTACCAGGAGGTTGAGCTGAGTAGGTAGGTGTGAGATTGTCTTATTCGACCTTTCTGCTAAAAATAATTTTTAGACTGCTTGTTTTAATTACTTGCCATATTGAGAATCAGTGATTTAATATAAGTGTGACGATTTAATAAACAGTCTCACAGGTGGGCTGAGTTCATCTCTTAGTTTGGTGGGGGTTTTGTCTACCAAACGTGCACTTGGCCGTGCGAGTGTATCCTTCCTTCGCAGTGTATTGAACGTATGTATGCAGTAGCGAGTGGCGTGTATTGCGTCTGATTCCCACTTATATAACCGGGCTCTCGTCTGTAAGATTTGGCAGTTTGTTGTTGCGTAGCCGTGTGTGTGTGTGTGTGGCTATAGCAGGGGTCGCCGCAGTTGGAGAAGCTGGGAAACAGCTTATATTTGTTAAGGCCATTTTTGCAGGTAAGTATATTTACGTACATACAACTTGTGTATGTGTGTATGCTGTGTGAGCCTGAGTGTTTTAGTGAGTAGTTGAGAAACCATGAGTTGGCTGAGTTGTACCCAAAAGCTTCAAACATGACTAACGTGATAAGCATTAGAATACGGGGTGGTATTCATTGCACGAAGCATTCCCCACATAAATACTCTTGTGTAACTGTGTATGTAGCTACATACATGGTGTGTGTAATAATATCCGTGTGTTCATACCCATTGGCAGATATCAACAGTGTTTTGCTCGATGATTACGTGCAGGTTGCTGTCATTGGACACCTTAGCGGAGAGTTTTTCCACCTCCAGTAGCTCGCAAATGCCGGCCATGATACCCACAAGGTCACCTGTCACATTCAGTAGTGGGTCTTTACCACAAGTCTGCAGTGGGAGATGTGCAATACATCATACATACATGAGTAACAACAGCTTCAAATTTCTATCTTAGAGGTGTGGATGGTATGTAGTGGTGTGGCTCACCAGTATGTCTGTGTATCCGTATGTCGTTTCAAGTCCAGAGATTAGACGCCACCTTTGGTCGTGTGGTCCGTCAGCCTGTTGATTAGTAGGAGCTCCCTCACAGCAGATCCAGGTCAGGGCAGCCAACAATGTTACGTCAAACACAAGACGGCGATCCATCCTTGCGGCCTCGCTGAGGTTTTTTGGCTGAAATCTGATGCCGAAAATTGCTTTTGTGGCAGAAGATCTGTGTTTTGCTTCTAGTCGCCTCGTGTTTTATGTGCTCTCCCAAGGAAAAGGAATGCATTGCATCATCAATGTTTGGCCGATTGATTCCCTGCCATATGTCGTTGCTACAGGGATAATGATCGTTAATTAACAGGAAGTTCCTCCTGTGAATGACTGATTCACTTGCTGTAAAAGACGCCTGTCTCTGTTTTGTCCCATCAGGTGAGAGTGCACGTGCACATCTTTTGTTTTGCTTGACCTTTTGGGAAAAGTACGACCTCTTTTGTCTTGAATTTTGTTCAATTGCGGCATATTTAGGGAGTAAAGTTGACAAAGGTCTGGCATTACTTCAGGTGACTTGTCGTAAAATGTTTGGAGTGACACTAGCACCCACCACCCTCTCCTACTCTTTGTCACATTACGTGATTATACGTTCAGCATATGCAGTGGTTGTTTGTGTGCATGCAACTTTATATCACCAACACAATGGATGGGAGAGTGACTTCTTGTGCCCAGGAGGATGGTGCTGTGTATGTATGTACACACAATAAATGTTGCAATGTGTATGAACAGGAAAGAGCACTTAATGTGGCAGACAGGAAGTGAAGCTGGGTTTGATTGCATACTAGCATAGAAGACTGAAAGTTAATGTTTGGAGGTTGGGAGCTCTCTGTGTTATACCCCACGTGATTGTGTTTGTATGGTACATTTGGTGGTGTTTCCATACATTGCCTGTGAGCAAGGATCCAGCAAATAGCCAAATTATTGCAAAACCTCAAACCTCCATTTTAAACATGCTTCTTATAAATGAACTCGTTATAAATTACTAATCATGCAAACATGTGGTAGACTTCAGGAATGTCTGACAGCCATATATGCAGTGATCCTAGCAGTTAAAGCACCCACAGGAATATCTCCATCTCCATCGTCCTTTGAGGTCGCTTTCTGGCAGTTTCTTTGGCTGTCAACATTCTGTTTGAGTATTTCCATTGTTCATTACATGCGTACGTGCCACTGCTTGTGTGGCAACATGTGCATTGTTCAATTTGGACCGCGACTTACGCAGCACCCGGCCAGATTTTACGAGTACCTCAGTGGCTCTTAGTTTAGTCTCCATATTTGGTGTCGCTGAGTATAGACACATGAAGCTGACTAAGTTACTCTTATCCCTGGTTATGTAACTCCAACTTCAATTGCAGGTATATATGTACCTATAATATCGGGTCAATGCGTGTGAACGCATGTGTGTGGTGACACACTTGGCTGGCTTACATTTTATAGCAGTCAGCAGTAGCTGCCGTCCATCTCGGAATCCCAGCTAGTTGTCCGCCCATTATGTAATGTTATGTGGACCACAATGGTTTGCTGGTGGCCAGGAATTTCCTGTGGTGCCTAGCAACTGATAAGTGTGTGTAAACAGATGGGTGGTATAACGAGGTAATGGATAGGCCTACCAGCTGACATGCAAGGGTGTAGTTTTTAGATTCTTTGATCAGAAGTTTAGAGCATTCTGTCGCTTCCCCATATGGCACCTGTGGACATATCAAGTTTTTCTGACTAGTTAACTCTTTAGTCAGCTGCCACTGCACATCCTCTGAGTGTAAGGAACCCAGTCCTTTTCTCCCAGCCGAAACTCTACTCTCCTTTGATGCCACAGTGTTTGCACAAAACTTTAAAACAGTGCAGATCATCAGCTCCGTAATCAGCACGTAACACGATTAGCCAGCTCTTAATGAACAATGCAGTAGTGAGCAGAAGTTTCTTGCTCCAGCACTGCAATATTAGCCACCAACTGTAGTCTTCCACGGAAACTCATACTGTATGCTGTCTTTGAACCACACGGACAAGAAGTAGTACTAGCTAGTTAGAATGCTAATTCCTCCTTAATGAGCTGTCTCTCATTCCAGTTGCTACCGACCATTAGGAATGTCAATATCCCCTCTGCCTCAAGGTAGATGCAAACCACATGAGAGAGGAAGAACGGAAGTGCATCAATAACTTGTCCAAGACTTCATTGGATTTTGGTTGTGCCACGTAACAACTAGTCTGATCTGTAGCTGGTTTTAAGTTTGATAGTGTGTACCTATGAACTTTCATGTGATTACCTATGAACTTCCATGTGATTATCTTGGACTTTTCCATCTGTCCCTGCAATTAAGGTACGTTTCTTGATTGCTCTCAGTGAATACTGGGAGAATAAACCTAGTATGATGCGCTCTGACCCTCAACTTGGCATGACACGTGTGAGTGTCTTCTCCCAATGTTTGATTAATACTGACCCGCTCGATTAACAACCCCACACATAGAGTGAAGGACACTGCTAATTGTGAGAACAGACGCAACGGACGCTGTCTTCTGATAATATTATTAGCAACATGATATCGAGGCAAAATGTGTAAACATACACATGACGTTACTTTGAAATGATGTCTTCGATAGTATTGACAAATCTAGCCAGGTTGTGGTCAGCAAGTGCCTGCATCAGAGAAATTATTTCTTTTCTAAGGCCATATACTGTCACTACCGGGAAACACAAACGTAAACTGATTGCGGCCGCGTGAAGAAAAACAAACAATGAGCCGTGACCTCATCTGGAGAAACCGTTGCAGGTGGCCTGCATGCTCCCATAACACGAATACGCGGCGCCGGTGTGACGCCGGGCGGCTACGTTTGAATTTGGGACGTAACCAATTAAGAGTGCGAGATTCTATAATGCTCTCTTTGTGTCACGTACGTGGAGGCGGTAACCTGGCATTGGGTGGCGTTGGTGTGGCGACGTAATTGCTGTTGATACACACTCTGCATTCTGCACCAGTAGCACATCATGTGCTCATTCGTTATAGATTCTATCGTCGTTGCCCAATTCAACGCACGTGTTCCATAAATATAGGACTGTATTCTTGTGTGCTGTGATCGTTGGGTTTCCCAGGAAAAGGAAACTGGTGCTTTCTGCACATGCAAAGATGAATCATGCATTACTGCCACATATGCAAGTTGAAGACTTATGTGTATTAGCACAGGTCGTTTCTGTTGTGACTAGAGTCTTTTGACAGGGTAAAGTGATATGGCACGCATAATATTTATTATGTTAATGTTAAAGTCATCCATCTGCATGGGGCTGAAAGCTTCTAAGTGACTCTCATGCATGATCATGATGCATAGTCTATTATTCACTGCATAAATTCTAGACTATTGGTAAGGATTTAGGTTAGCCTGCCGTGTGCCTGGAATTAGGAGAATGTGACACCGCAAACATGAAGTTGGCATGGCTACTAAGTACCTGAGATGGCTTTCCCCACAACTCATGTTGGAGGTACGTAGTTTACCGCTTTTGGTCCCCACATGATGATGTCACTGCACTACATCCGTTTTCTTGTTATAAGGCAAAATTCATATCACTTTGATGCCCAGGGTAAGAGCAACGGAAATATTTATGGCGTGACATCGGCAATATTTTCAGAGGGTTTAAACTGTAAAGACCGTGGGCAATAATATTTGGAAAGGCTTGAGCATGCATTTTTCACTTATGATACGACTGTATGTGGTGGTCTAACTGCTTGTGCGTTTGGATTAGAGGCTTCTTTTTATATGAAAGAGTTTGAAATTCCCTGCATCTCTCTATCTCATTCCACATTATAGTTGTGTTCTAAACGGGGTATAAATAACCAGCCACCGTCACAGCTCTGTCGAGTGGCAAGGTTTACAAACTCAGTAGGACTTCTTCCCACCGTGTGTGCCCTTATAACTGAGTTTAGACTCGTGATCCAATTAAGAGAGTTAGTTCTGATAGACCTTTGACACGGTATATGCCACTTTAGAGGCTGCCAGTTCAAGGTATATAATTATATACCCGTTGTTTTTAGTTGTCTTGATACTTGTGAAACAAATTTTTAACTGAGACAATGATATGAAAATTGTTATAACTGAATTAGAAAGTATATAGACTGTGATGGTGATTTAATATAATTTTAGAGCACCCACGGCACTCATTGTCGGAAAAATAATCTCCATAAATAAAACCATCTACTTTTTAAAGTGTATAAGAGGAATAATGTATTCTTGCCCAGCTGTGTTAGAATGAGGAGAACGGACAGGTGAAGTTCTGTCCTGGTGACCATGAGAGTGTCTGTAGAACGCTGTTTGTCTGGCTGGCTGATAGCTGTGACTCCAACCACGTCGGTACGTCCTGGTCTACCACTGTGTCCGTGTAGTAGTCAGAGGCCGGCTCGTAGACTTTGCCGTAAAACGTCTCCAGTTTTGTCTCTAGGCAGTAGTGGGTGAGTCTCGGCATGTCCCCAATCTGGCACGAGTCGTTCAGCGCTAGGAACCTTGCTGATGCCGACACTTCTCCACTGGCAATGAGGTGATTCAGCTGCATGTTTAACAGAGAACAATGTAATGGTGACCTTGTCACTAGCCCCTACTTTCAGGTATAGAACAGGCAAGGAATTGTCAGATAAGACACGGGATTTTTAGCTAAAAGACACCATTTTTGCTAGAAGGTGCAGAGAGTCTGTATAGCTTACCCAGTGACACGAGTCTATTATGTTCTGTTGCAGGATGCTCTGTAAGTCGGTTCCGTTGTGGACTTTGCTGGCGACTCTCTGCACGGACATTAGTTCACACACTCCTTTCAGTATGGTCTTCAGCTCCTCCCCAGCAGTGAGCAGTGGCTGGTTGTCACATGCTTTCACCTGCCTTGTCTGCAGTGAGACAACAGAAAATAATATATAGACAGCATCATGCAATAGCAGCGCTAATGTAATTAGTGTCCTATGGCTAAAGCTGCTACATGTCATAGTACAAACTGTGCAAGAGTCTGTTCGGGTTGTTATTATTTACCAATTTGTCAATGTAGAAATATGCCGTCTCCAGACCGGATACCAGTCTCCACCTGACATCATGAGGTCCGTTGATCTGCTCTACTTGGCGCTGGTGAATGTGATGTGCAGGGGCTGCCTCGCTCCAGCCAACTAATGATATCACTGTCAGAATGAACAGTCTGGGTAGATGGTGTTCCATTTTTGTAAGTGAGGAGGTCAGGGAGCGGAGGTGCAGCAACTGTGTTGGAGATGCAGTAGAGAAACTCTTGTTCTGGCTCTTGCTGTTCTTGTCCACCACTTCTATCATTTTTATACCAAACCCTTGCTCAATGGAATGTCAATTTTCTGCAATCAGGGGAATCATCCATCTGCTAGTTTCCACACATTCATGTAAACTAGCTAGTTGCTATAGTGTGAGCCAGTCTCCCACCAAGCATCCGGAATTTGCCAGTATAATATTATACAATAATGTACTGATGGAATAATAATAATGACAGTTCCCTCGATCAAAGTGGCACATGGTGGTGGTCTCAGTACTGGTGATCCTAGCAGCGGATGCCCCCAACCTGCGACGCTAGGTCCAGTTTCTTTTGTGCTAAAAATACCGTGACTCCGTCTCGGGCCAAGTACGTATGGTTGCACATGCCTAGCACTCCACCGCTGAGCTAACAAACGGCGATTTGCGTGCAGGACGCGTACGAGCTACGTCATCCGGTAGTTGCTAGTCCTGGTTTGGAAAATACTGTCTCGTTCTAGCTGCTTGACTACTCAGTTGGACTGCACTCGATTTGGCCTTTGCAAACTGCGCGGCAGCGCATTTTAGCAGCTTTATGGCTTCTGCAATGGCGTCGCACACGCGAGAATCAGAAAGCTAGCATGCGAGTGTTGTGTACATTTTCATAGTATAATAACAGGCTCCTATGTCAGTGAACATAGTACACTCCCAGATTGTAGACACTCAATAAATAAAAATAGTCCCGGACACACAATGCACACAAGAGAACTGGTCCTAAGTGTCACTCTGGGTCTCGTCAGAGTCACGAGAGGAGAAGGTGAGGGCTGCGAGATGGTCATTCTGCGCTGCGGCAGTAGCAGGGGACGGAGATACGGAGGCACTCCTCAATTGCTTGAGAGCCGACTCCCACTCATCGAAACACTGCAGAAAGAACAGATATACCCACCCAGTGTGTTAGCATGGTTATCCACACTCTTACTCATGAACTAGGCTCTAATATTTAATAAATACCTACCAAAGCCCCATCATCTATGATACTAGGTACTTACCATGACCATTACCATACTTAAGTGTGATTGAGCTGAAAAGCATATTGGAACATTTCCCTTGCAGCATCCATGTCATGTCTAATCTTGGTCAAAGCTACACCCACACTACATAGGACATGACCGGTAACCATGTATCAAAGAATAATACTGCCAATGACTGGATACTGACCTATTAATATGTCCCTGTGTCAGTACAGAAGCTCCCATTTGAACACTCTCTCTGTGCAGTGTGTCTCTTTACATGTGCATACATGTCCGGTTGTAGACAGGTAGTCTAATTGTATTGGGTTGTGGCCGTGCAGCTAGCTGACATTCGGGGACAACCCATCGCCTCCACAAAAACACCACAGTGGGGAACCCTACTGTCATAGCACACACACAAAATTGTAGTCCCTCTGAAAAATAGCATGTTTCACCACCAATGCATTAACCACATGGGGAACATTTTCTCGTACATCTAGTTAAATGATGGTGATTTGGAAAGGGCGAGTGGTATCCTCTCCTGTATTAATTAGTTGATCAGCCAGAGTAGACAGCAGCAGAGGGCAGGGGGTATCATAACCACATGCGTATGCAGCGGGTGCCTTTGAATCCCTGTCATGATTGGAATTGTAGGCACCCTGTCATGATTGGAATGGGTCGTATATACAGGTAGTTCCCACCTTTGTGGTGGTGTTGCTGAGGTCAGTGGTGGGGGGGTAGGTGGGCATGGGGAACCTTGCCAGAGTTTCTCTGTCATGGTTAGACAGGAAATTGTTGACATTTCTCCATCATTCCACGGCAAAATGGACTTTTCTGCCATTCAAGTCAACTGCTATGGATTGTCACATGGTCTACTAGACCATGTGAACCGACTCTAACTATCGCTTGAAAGCTTTATTTTTAACCGTTGCTGGTTAGCAGTCTAGTACAGAACATATGAGGTCCATTTCCTTTGGACCGCTCTCTAAACCAGGCGTACAACGGAGGTTCTTGTGTCAGCCCTGACCCAGTTGGGTCGCTCCTGCTCGCCAACAATGTTTAACATTCTACTAGTATAAAGCATGTAGACCACTTTTTGTCAGTTGTCTCTAAAATACATTCACACTGAAGACCTTACTCTCTCAGAACAACTCTTGCAACTAATTGTAGGGACTTGTAGCATTACCGCATTACAACCTACTCCAAAGCATGCTTTTGGCCACTACACAGCCCGGTTATATAACACCGCACCCCATAACCCGTTATTGACTCAACATGCCTGTTGGTAATATTACTGCTCCTGGACTGAGCTAATGGACATGCTGTGTCCTGCGTACAATGACACGTATTCTTTGTGCATGTGGACTAACAGACCATTCTGGTTTTAATAATAGTGCCAATTTAATGTGATCTTTGACACTTTCGCTAAAATAGCTAAGAAGTATACATTGTGCACCCAGTCACCCCATTACAAAGGTGAGGACACAGGGAATGCTACTGGGGCTTCCAGGTATAGTGTTAGAATGTGTGGGATGACCATTAGGAACTGGCAGTGGCAAAAATCCCATGGGACGGAACTTCATCCTCTCTCTGGGTCTTCAGTCACCCGCAGCCCTCTGTTTGGGGTGGACACAGGAATGTCTGATGAAAGTTAATCAATGCTCACTTTCCCTCAGCCTCCCTGCCCACCTTCCTGCGCCGGGGAGCACCAACATTCCAAAAATGCCGGGCTCCTTTCAGAAACCACAGGATCCCCCCTCAGCAGCCAGTGAGCTCTGCCACCCACACAGATATTTCTGGCAGCAGAGTCCAACCATCCACTTCCAGAATGAATATGACACGGGTAGTTTGGTGAGTGAACACGAGAACTCTATGGCCTGACCTTAGGCATGTGCAATATCACCGTGCCAGAAGGATATGACTAGGTAGGCTCATTATGCTTTCCAATGACAGGAGGCAGTCCTCCAAAATGTGGAATGTGGGTTCTCAGGTGCATCCAGATGATGCAAACCATTACCACAACAAATGCAACTCACTTTTGGCGAGTGAGCACAGTTCAGTTCAATTTTTCACATGTATTTAGAGCAATGTTAAATTTTTCACATGTATTTAGAGCAATGTTAAATGTTTCGTGTGTACTTAGAATAACATGTAGAAGATTACGGCACGTATGTGCCCAGTGCCCGTCATATAAAAAAAAACGCATTCAGATGACTAGGTACACTCGCTTATCTCGCCAACTAAAATGCCACAGATTTTGCCAACTGGATGTACTGGTATATGAAGGTAGAGACAAGTGGCACCTACCACGACACTGTCCACTTCCATGCCTCGAGGCAGCTTATTGTGCATGTTACAATATCAATGTCCATTAATTGCTCTGATGAGAGGTGTGTACGTGTTACGTACGTATGGGTTTAGACAGGGGATCAGTGATTACCGATACACGTACATACCTTCTGATGGTAGTCCACGTGGTTACTGGCAAACTGTCTCATGAACTGACACACCTCCTTGTTCTTGGCCTCGTGCCACTTCTCCACGTCCACCCGCAGCTCCTCATTGGCCCGAGAGAGTTGGTCCTGGGCCTTCTCTGCAGCCAGTTCTACCTGCAGTCACAACCTTCTCACTTGATGTATACATGTATGTATGATTAATTACCACAACACTGTTTTAAATGCTGAGTCGTAGGTATGTTGATGAATGCAGTGCACTTTTTACGTAAGTGGTCAATTATCCGACTAGGGTGTAATCAATACATCCACTGACCACTGACCAGTGAGAGTATTTTTGGACCTACCAACCTCCACTTGCAATCAGTTACTTGAACCACGTACGATTCCTGACAGTTTAGGGTCATGGGGACTATTAAAGGATACATTTGTCACGACAGTGGTCCTTGTTTTATGTTTTAGTAGAGAACTACCGGCCAAGATTGGGTTCCATAGTGAAGTGTTTGCAGCCTGTGATTCACCGCTTCCACTTCTGGAACAAGCACAGTTCGTGGTTCTCTTTTTGGGAAATGTACTAATAACTCTGTTGTAGGGTAAATAAGCATCTAAGTATGGTCCAAGTAGTATTAATGCCTACACACCACACTTCACATGTGTGAGACTCGCCAGCCAGCCAGAGACAGTATGACGCAGGAGGAAGTATGTGTAATACGTAAGTTAGCCATGCCAGTCAGTGATTATTTCCCGGGGGGTAAACTGCAGGAATAGCGATCCCGTGAAACACAGGATAAGCTGCCAAACAAACAAGAACTCCCTCTTTAGCTGCAGGAAATACCCCTGCCACAACAAATACTCAACCACGAGTGATGTACAACCCAAGATCTTCATCTAAGCAAAAATACAAATAATTCTGGCTCCTATATTTTATGTGATGATACCTTAAGAAAATCCTGCCGTTTATGTTACACACATTTTCTTCTAAACCTTAGGGCACTCTACTCAAGTAGATGACCGTATATACTTCTATTGATCTAATATCTCAGTTTAATGTACATTTGTACTGCAAAGCCAATCAGACACTGATCGTGCTGTATATGGTAGGTTCAAAATATCCTCCAGTCCACACATTAAACAGTTGTTTCTGCTACCTTGCACACCAACAAATGCAGTCATGGTGTGTGTGTTCACACAGTGTAGGGTGTTGCCATGCCCACCAATGCCGTTAGATATGTACCCCGAAATGGCGTATTTTTTCTACAGAAAACCTGTAGTGTGGGGACACACACACGCGGCAGTTAATCCACTTCCAGTCCATTACAGCCACTCACCTTTTCGAGATCATCAGCTAACTTCATTACTTTCTGCACTTTGCCAGATGCTGTTGCCTGCACAAGAGGAATGAAGAGTATATTGTACATGTATTTATGCTCTTAAACACTCGTGTACTACTAACTAGTACTACGCCTAAAACAATAGTGACGTACACTAAGCATTTTGTATCTAGGGTGACTTTGGCGACCATATTAAGGCATCAGAAATGTGCATAATGTGCCAAAGTAACCAGTAGTGACACACTACTTAACGCCTAGCCTCTACCTAATCACAAGTCTCGAGGAATTGTGATGAATTATGGACCTCCAGTAGTTAACCCTCGGTGTGCATGCGCCACAGGGGTTTACGGTACTTGGTTCGTAAGTCTGTCTGTCCGCTTTGGTTAATCTATCATCTCACGCTACGACACATACAGTTTCATATGGTGTGGGCGGTGTTTGCCCACACCATAATGTTTTACTCGAAATGGAGTTGAAATTTCACAATCGTCTACGTGTCGCGCCATGTGTGACTCACGTTCGTTCACCAAAATGCATTTGCGTTCGTCCATAATAACTTTACATGGTCGGCAGGCGTCACTGGCAAACCACATTTGCTAAAGCTGAAGAGTGTCCTATCTAATAATAGGGTCAACCCCCTGTTGTCCAGGTAGCAGGAATGGTCGACTGCAGCAATGTACAATGTTGTGTCTACTGGTGTGGCGTGATGTCACAAGGCAGAGTACATTTGCCACTCCCATGAACCTAGAGCAAATAGGGCACTCGGTCCAACTAACACAACAGACATTAGAGAGCAGGGTGTCTCGAGTTCAGTCCTACCCAGGTCAGCTCTCTTTTATCTCCGGGTGCCGCTGTTCTGTATTTGTCCTGCTCTGTGCCTCACCTACAGGATGTCATCCCTTCACCATACACATGCATCACTCTTCTACGTACGTATTTCTGGGAATCTACGCATGTACTCAGAAGTTCAGGTCATGTGGATCTGCAGGAGTCGCATGCAGATTATTAAAAAACTCTGCCAGTTAATATTGTTAATACAATCCCATTTTCCACAAAAACGACACCTTAGTAGCAATAGGCTGGGTACAAATCACTCCTGTAGTAGTGTTTCCGCTTAGAAATAAGCAGGGAAGAGATGACGATAAGGAAATAATATGATGACGATTGAAGAGTATTGTGATATTAACACAGCCATTAAAGAGTGCAGTGAACCTACGTGCCACCCTTGCCATTCATTAACCAATAGTCTCACAATATCCTCTGTGGTGGGTGTAAGAAATTAGTCTAGGTTATGGTTGCAGATGTACAGGCAACAACTGCACTGGAGCCTATACGTACGTTGACTGGTGCAACACAAGAGGTCAAATTTCAGGCCCTGTGTCTGGGCTAGAACAGAACTAAGCTCATTGCCAATTTGTAGCTCAACAGGTTGGGCAAAAATGCCAGGTATTCACATTGCTAAAGAGAGGCTGAACTCCATTCTTGCCTGCCAATCCCCGAGTGAGTGGAGACACTTGAAGCAAAGAGAGTTCACTAAGAAGATTACTGGCACACTGATCTTGTCTTGCCATGGGTCAAGGTGTCCCATCAGGCGCAAATATAATTTTCACACAAACCCACTACGCGCGTGTGGGGCAGTGTGTTTGGAAACACACAAATGAACACAAAAGTCGGATCAACTTAAAAAATTTGACCACTAAGATTATGACTGTTGCCCGTAGAAACACAAAGGACTTTGTTAATTAGTGCTACCTTGCCCATCAACACACCCGATTGTGGCCTTCAACTAAACTTACTTACAGCGCACAATTACGTGACATGGGAAACAACCAATGTCCAATAACACATCCGTTTGCGTGTGTGCATGCATCACGTTCGCACTGCCAAAACGCTGCATAAACAATAAAAAGGTTAGAGCCACATGCTTGTGGACCACATCAAGGCAATGGCAAGGAAGGCTAGAGATGAAAATTGTAGATTAACTGAACTAATACATTATTAAGCGGCAGTAGAGGTGACTAGATTGAATGCAGAATCACGCTATCAGTGCACCAACTAGTGTTAGATATCAAATGTGCAAATGTCCAAAGTGCAAGAAAAGGCATACCATACAGTACGCAGATAGGCATGCTGCAATCACTACACAAACATGTAGTGCTTTGACAAGACTTTGTGTTTCTTTTTTTTTACAAGGATTGCAGGGGATGCGCGAACGCAGTCTATTCTCCACCACCACAGCAAGCTCAAAACTACCAGATCATATTATCTGACAGAAACCACTTGGGTTACCCCACGTCTACATCGCTGAAGGTTTAACTTAACTAATTGAGACTTAGCTACCACACCTCGAAACTTGACAATACGTACAACTGTCCCTCTGTGACAACCACTGATATGGCAGACTATATCGCATTGCCCTGTCGCGATAAAATTGATCCTCGGGACGCGGCAATGCGGCATGTGCGCAATGGGGCAATGTGACATTGTGAGTAACTCTACAAATCAACTAACTGTACTACACCTTGAGCTTCCTGAATTTTCCTTATGTCCCCAATCAGTCGTCCATTGAATGTCTGTTTTCCTTCTACCTTCTTGCAAAGCTAAACTCTCCTGTGTATGAACTGTGCACCCACCTTCAAACATTCATTCTGATACTACCATGAGCAAATACTAGCTCCTCTTCTAAAGGTTCTTCTTTCCCCAACTACTGTTTGTCCTTTCCTCTAACATTAGGTTTAAAGAGCCCCTTCTCCCCTCCCACCATAACCAAGCCTTGTTAAGGAAACCTTGTTTGTTTCTAGTGTGCATTGTTTGACTTTCGTTAATAATGTGCGGGGGATGCGCGAACGCAGTCCCCCCCTACCAAAAATTGTGCACCCGAGTCACCCAGTTTGGGCGATCGCAGGCTTCAACAAGGCCAAGTGCAATGCCGAGTCTCCACCTGGAGGAACCGCCTACTTGATCACGGTATCCTCTGTGCCAGGTAAGTTATCTCGCTCTCGAAGCTGCTGACTTATATACCCAGCTTTGACCGAAACAGTTGTGGTTTCATTAAACGTATTCAAAGATGGCGGTAGCATTGTCAAATTTTGCTAACACATGTCTTACAACACCTACAATACATAGCTGAGTTCGCAATATGACACAACTTAGCAGCACAATGTGGCACGGAATGACGGTGTGTGTCACAAATATACACACACTCAGAGCATTACACGAACTAATGCTACTCTCCCGGGCAAATCATTCCCGTCCATTGTTAGTGCTAATTATGGTATCATGAACATTTTAAAACGCTACTTGTGCCACTTGTCTTCTTGCTACGACTGTGCAGAACAAAGCAAGTAGGTAGCCAACCTGAACTTTAAGTACTACTGTAGCCACTCAATTTCGTGAACCAAGGCATGGGATGTATAGCAGACCAAGCAACTGCCTTGGGTTATTCCTCTACCACTTCCCCATCAACAATGAGTCTGTGTATCTGGGTGATTGATAGAGTTTGTATGGCCATGCTGACATACCCATCATAATTATTTACAGCCGCAGATGTACCAACCTGAAGTAGGTGAGCCATGGCTGGTGCACCCAGTAACTTGTGAAAGGTTGTTCTGTGTCATACATGCCAGCCAAATGGCAATGATAAGCTCCCCATGCACTTATAATACCACATGTATGCACACGTACAGTTGAGAGAATAAGCATGTGCAGAGAGCTGCTCATAAGAGAGTCAGATACTTGTTTTAAAGACATTTTTTAAAGAAGCTACATCCTAAAAATTAATACTGACACTTTGCACGTAGTTACCCAGCTAGTGTCTTCCACCCTCTATAGGCTTGGTGACTACGAAGGTCTGACTAAGTATGATCCAGCACTACAAAATTGTTATTTTTCTATTTTATAATGTGCGGGGGATGCGCGAACGCAGTCCCCCCCTACCAAAAATTGTGCACCCGAGTCACCCAGTTTGGGCGATCGCAAGCTTCAACAAGGCCAAGTGCAATGCCGAGTCTCCACCTGGAGGAACCGCCTACTTGATCACGGTATCCCCTGTGCCAGGTAAGTTATCTTGCTCTCGAAGCTGCTGACTTATATACCCAGCTTTGACCGATACACTTGTGGTTTATGTCATTAGAATTCACACTTCATAACTGTATTCACAGTGTTGATACAACTCTGTACAGTATATGCATACAGAGTGTTTCACACAATGTACCATAGCAATGTACAACAAGGTTTCCTTTTGTCAGTGTGATTATATAATATGCCACTTATCGACGCCTCCTCTTAGATACGTACTGCAGTTGGTGGAATTATTGTACTGCATGACCCCAACCAGCTTTTGCTTTTAACGCGAAAACACATTTACGTAGTCACATGTACGTATATAGCCACCTCATCATGATGCCGTTTCTTCCTCTCACGGTCAAGTCCAGAGCGCTCCACTTCTAACTGAAGAGTATCTCGCCGCCGAATAGCAGCCTGTGCATTAAACAGAAAACTAACTCAGTGCATGCAATAGCATTATGGAAAACATGGCAGTTAAGACCGTATACTAACTGCTCACCACAGCAGAGGAAGAGTATAGCTGATACTCCTTCACAGCCACCATCATGGAGTAAGTATTGGCCTCATTCTGCGTTGGATAAAATGACGTGTGCGACCCTAAGCTGCAAGCATATATCCTCATGCTTGTCGTATGAAGTTGTCTACATGTTATAGAAAGTGTATTTACAGAAAGGCAGTAAGATTCTCCTGGTATTCTTATGATAGTGGAGATGCATGCTCCTCTGAGAGTGGTAGCACCAGCAACCACCACACTGAGGGGAGGACGTACGTACCAGCTTCTTGACGTGATGGCTGCAGTGCTCCACACAATTGGCCAATTTCTGCAGGGGCTGGGTCATCACCTGCTCGTTGGCCGCCCAGTGGAACAGAGCCACGCTGAAGTCGTCCTGAGCGGTCTGGAGTACCTCACGCTCGTTGTGCAGCCGAGCTCCTATTCTCTCCAGGACTGACATCTTGTCCCCGAGCTCTGAGAAGTAGGTCAGCTGTTTGGCAAACTCGGGGTCTACGTCTTTGAGCATGAAGGAAGTTTGGGCCTGTCTCACTGAGGAGCTGAGCCGATCCATCAGCTTCTGCCTCCCCTGACTCTCCTGTACGTAGCCTGCAAACTCCTGCACGTAGTAAAAATTATGTCATAATGGGCGAAAGCTACACATACACATTTGTATCAAGCACAAGGTATATTTTAAGATGCTCGCAGTGTGTATATATATAGCTTTAGACACCTTGGTGGTAAAATCTACTATTGAGTAGTGCAAAACTGTCGACAGAGTGTACATTACAGAAGGTCTGGAGAGTGCCACTAACGTATAGAGATGGGTATTTCCTGTGGCTTTGTGACTGTAACGCACACACAAACACAAACACACACAGTACGTAAATGTTCACATTGTGTGCCTTTCTGTTGTGGTAACCTATTACGTAACTATACGTCACTAGTTTTATTAGCCATCTTTGTTTGCCGCCTTCCCTTGATTGTTTGTTCCATCACACAGTCGCCAGTCATTGGCATTCCCGGAGTTTCTTATGTAAGGCTGCATCATCACACGCTCACCTTCAGCAGAGAGCGCGTATGCACTGTTATTAATAGTCCCAGCACATGCTGTGTGACAATCAAACATGGCACAGAAGTGGATCCCCAAGGGAGGTCGAGCATGTGTGTGTGTGTGTGCGTGCGTTTGTGTGTTTACCACAAACGCAGCGGGCACAACTGCTTGTTGGCAATAAAAGCAATTAGGAGCAAATCCCTTAAATCCAATCTGCTCTTGAAATGGACATGGGGTTGGAGCCAAATGGTTTGTTGATAATGTGCTATATAAATTGCATTCTGTATTGCCCCTGGCAACGCGGCCCTGTGACTACGCTAGGCAGACTCCTGTCACCTGCCATTATGCAACACATCCGAGCTGTGATGGTCATTTGGAGGAAGTCCAATGACATCAGTGGGTCAAACAAAGATAGAATAGTGTCCAGCATTGTACAAAACCCTGACATTGGTATGACGTGGCTTGGCTTAGAGGACGACGTCACCATCTCAATGACGTAATTACGCCTCACAACACTGATACTATAGCCAGAGTGGTTTACAAGAGGTGGTGGTGGGTGAACATACATATTGTCACCACCTCCCGGTGCTATGCAGAAAGAATTTGCACAAATGGGTATAAAGCTGGTGAAAGGAATGTAGCAGCTAGAGTAGAAGTGCTAACTTTAGCCATTATGTACTGCAACAGTACCTCTAACAACTGTACAACTATGCTTTTGTTTTAGCCAACATGTCTACCCTCCCGACCTCTATAATTATACAAGATGTGATGTGTATACACCTCGGGAGTGGCTGTGAGAAAGGTCTTGAGGTCGATGCTGAAGGAGAAGTAGGGATGGACTGTGAGTCGTCGCAGGAACTTGTCCAGAGCTCGCTGCCTCTCCTCCAGAAACGTCTCACTCATGTGGTCAAAATACCTGGCCACCTGTTTTGCCTGGCAGTGGCTGGCAGAGATGAAACAGGGGGGGGCGGGGGGAAAAGAAAGGATAGAGGGAGAGGGGAGAGGTGTAAGGAAGAGGACCTAGTGTCAAAGTAGTCAAATTTATTTACAATAGAGAACAAAAGAGCCGACCTGGGTGTACAATGGATCCTCGTTAATATGAACACTGTTAAAGTGAAATATCTGGCTATCCCCACACATTATAGGACTAATTAGAGAGTCGGTAGACTCTCTATATAGGGATGACACGGGTGAAATCTCACGTGATCCGCGTACAAAACGACTAAAAACTCAGTGAGAATCAC